GGGGGGGCCGGGGGGGGTCCAAAAATCGTTCTCTAGGAATATACTCATCATTAGTTTGTGGACGCTCTTTAATTCCCCCCCCCCTCACACTCTATGTTTTGAGTCTAGGGCTTCAATTATAATATAATCGATGCAACCAATATTAATTCATAAAAGAACATTTCACTTTCCACACAATAATTTCACTTTCATTTCAGAAATATATTTTTACCTCATTCCGGGTCGAGGTGGCTGGAACCCCCCTGGGGGCCCAAAATTCTGCTGTTGCATCATTTTATCTTCCTGAAAGAATCAATTTTTCATAAAAAGATTCAGAACTTCGGTTTGATAACACACGATTTCTTAAATTCCAAGATTTCAACTTGTTCCAAGTTCCACGTCAGTCAAGGATAGTTTAAACCAATGAGAGACTAGAAAACAATATTTGACGAATCAGAGACAAGACAGGAGAAGCAGACGTAATTCAACCAATCACAGAGCAGATAAATCGAGGTTGCGTGACGATGGGTAATGTTACATCGTCTATACGCAACTCACGCAAGTCGCAACATCCCCTCTATTGAACTTCTTACCTATGTACAGAGAATGGGAATAAAGGGAAGGGGAATGGCGGTGGTCTGGCATGAGAAAGCCAGTCGAACCGCTTTGCAGACGAATTTGTTATCACACACGCACCTTCTTTTGGTACAGACACACAACATGACTACAAAGTGCAGAACGATGTCGTCTTCGCTGTTTTTCTATATTTTATGGGTGTTGTATTTTTCGACCTACGCATATCCGCTATACTCCACTTCTGACATACGCCAAACCCGCTACACTAAACATCCGACCTACTATTTGTTAAATCCCGAACAACACACAAAGCAATTGTTTAGGTCTGCTTAGTTTTTAATTGTTATCCTTTTCTGCGTTAGATTCTTTATACCCTTTAAATATTCTCGTTGAATCTTTTTTTCCTTCTCAATAAATTCTCAATAATCACCAAAAATCTCATTGAATTCTTAATATTCAATTCACTTATGTGATGTTCTACTTTTTCCTTCTCATTAAACGTTTTCTAACATAACTTAAAAAATATTGATCGGAGACTATTAAAATTTATTCCAACTTTTCCTAAATACTCATATATATATGCCCTCCTTTTAGGCCTAATACATACTGCCTATAGCCCTCAAGCACACTGCCTGAATGCTTACATTTTGCAAACTTTCTTGCATACACTCCTTTAAAGGAAGGAAAACTCTTTAAGTATATGACGTACCTCCTTAAGTTCAAAATAATTATTTTGCCTAAAACTTTACAGTTTATAATCATGAATATAAAAATTCAGATGCATAAATTCACTACAGTTGTATCTTTTTTAAGCCTTATCATAACTGTATATTATACATATACATATATAAACGGACAATTAAAAACAAATGACTTTTGTCCCCTACGCCCCTCCCTGAATCTGTCAGGGGGTGGCGAATGTCCCCCCGCCACCCCCCTGTATCCGCCCCTGGAAAGCGGGACTGTATGCCAAATGATATATATGTATGGGGAATGTTTTGTATAGATCAAATAGGTGTATATAATAGGTATTAATAGGTGTGTAGACTGTAGAACCACTGTCAAGTGAACAAGACAAGTTACCATAGAATACTGTATTTCATACAATGAATCCCAGATATATGAATACATAGTAAGAGTTTTTTTATAATGTCGTATTACATATTTAAGATCAAATGCCGCAGAAAAATGAGTTTAATATTAATATATCATTTGCATTCATATTTCTGGGCTATTTATTTACCTTAAATTAAAAATAAAAAGAAGTTTCATTAGAATTATCAAAAACCTTCTGACGGCCTATGTATTCATATATCTGGGATTCACTGTATACAAAGAGAATAGAATATTGTTGACTTTAAAAGTCACTATAATAAAACAGAGAGATCTAAAATGGATATTTCTAACATTTATTTAAAAACGAAAGTTTTGAAATATTGTGGTTTAAAGGATGAACATGACTGTTGGTGCCACAGAACAAAAAGTATTCCATTTCTTGACACAAAACTGTACATTGAAGATGGAAAAATCACAACAGATCTCTACAGAAAACCCACAGATAGATGTATGTANCCAACAGATAATATAAACAACTTCACGTACAGTTCTAAAAAGTTAAATAAAAGAATAATACTTATAAAAAATAGTGATTTACATTTTAAATCATTTGCCATTTTATTTCAGAAGTCAAATATGTCATTTTAGTACTGTCCATATCCAATTTCCATATCCAATTTGCCCCTGTCTTCCCTTTAATAGATCATAAGAATTTTTTCATTATTGACATTAATTTCACAATCTGTAATAGTATTAATTAAATGTATTTTTTCAGGAAATAAAGAGTTATTCATTATTATCGATTTTGGGAGACGTTTTATGTGTTGAATGTTATGAAGCCACAGTAATCGGGATCATTTATCCAGGGTACAAATACCCCTCTAGTTCCATTCCTGGTTAAAGCTGTTTAGCTTCTTGTTATCCATTATCCATTATCCATTTCCAACATCTTCTTTCCTTTGAGTTTTACAACGGTACAGACTAGGGGCTTTACAGGTGTATAAAATAGGTATTAACAGGTGAATAATGTGAAGAAAAAAATAATTAGTTGAGAACATTTATTTCCTTTAAATCGCCAACAGTTTCATTTTGTAAAGAAGGCAACTGAGCATTGTATATATGACAATTTTGTCAATGGAATTCTAAGACTTAAAGACAGAATACATTTAGAGATAGGAAAAGTAGATTCAAAACTTAGTTTTCACTAATTCAATTAATTAGTTTACAATGTACATAGTGTAATATATCAAAGTGTACTTAATACTGAAGTAAAGAGTACTACTGAGTATGTTACAATAGTACTAAACAGTAACACTATAAACAGATAACAAAGTTTACACTATATATCTGAAGTAACAAGTACTCATGAGTATGTTACAATAGTACCAAGTGCAGATAATAAAGTTTACTCTATATATCTGAAGTAACGAGTACTACTGAGTATGTTACAATAGTACTAAGTGCCGATAATAAAGTTTACTCTATATATCTGAAGTAATGAGTACTACTGAGTATGTTACAATAGTACCAAGTGCAGATAACAAAGTTTACTCTATATATCTGAAGTAATGAGTACTACTGAGTACGTTACAATAGTACCAAGTGCAGATAACAAAGTAGATTTCTCAATCATAAAGAACCCACATCCAGAGAAGGTTTCCTAAAAAAAAATGTTGAACTGAAAATATTTCAAAATATCTGTTATAAAGAAATATTCACCTCAAGTTGAATTTCCTGAATAAGAAGTAAGTATTCCATCTGTTTTTCAGGTTGTTTACAACAAGCAGATCTTAAAGAAGATTAAATATTGAATTTCTTCCTTTTGTACGAATATTTTTTTCATAGAAAAAGAATAATAGCTTAAAATAACTAACGCTTTCAGAAAGCTTCTGGGGAGGTTTGTTTTGATACTTTTGCAATTAGAAAAGTAGCGGCAAATAAATACCAAAGATACAGTTTGATCACAAGATGGGTTTTAATGAAAAAGTATTATCTGTTCAGCCTCTCAACATTTAAAAACAGTAATGGTAGTTTGATCTTAAGTTCAAAAATTAAGATATTACGTACACTTTCAAATGAGTGAACAATTGTTAAACAATTTAACCTGAGAAAGGGCAAGATATTTCCAAACTTTGATTTAGTCTCTTCTGCCATCACACCAATATAGAGCATTTGCACTCCAGAAAACATCGTGTTCAGTCCCAATATCAGTAGATTAGGCCAGATTAACTTAGATTTAAAAACACCTACCACCATGAATAAAAGAACAACCATAGCAAAGGTGTTAAAAGAGAACTCAGCAAAGAGGTATGGACTTAAACCTTTCTTTAACCTTCGGAACTTTTCTAAACATTTCCTTCCCCTGGCTAGTTCATCCCCAACTTCAGTTTCAAGGTTCTCCATTTGCTTTATAAAACCAGCTGTTATCATCCCAAAGGCGAGCAATCCAGTGGTTGTAAATATTAGAATACCAATTAGCATCAGTGTCGTAAGTATTGAAAACCAATATAAATTAAACAAAATCAGCATCCATATCTAAAGTTACACTATGTAAATGTTTATGGTCGAAAACAATGGAATAAATGCAGAGTAATACAAATTACTCATAAAATACTTGTGATTATTGCAGGAAAAAATTAATTTCATTCTATTACATGCTTCTTAAAATAGTACCAATGTAAATGTAATTTAGTTCTCAATTAAGAAGTTTAAAATGTGAAGAAGTTTGACTGTTCTAATGAAATATGTTTTCAATTAAGTTATGGAGAATAAAAAGGGGTCAGGGTGGAATCCAACCCCAAACTGGGTTAGGGTTAAGGCATTCCTACTGTACGATCTTACCGCTTGTAGAAACAATCCTAAAATAATGAAGCTATAGAGAAGAAGAATAAGCATTTTCCTTGGTCTCTCTGGCTCTTCAAAACAGTCTCTTGATATAACCGAGGAGAAAAGGCAAGACACCACTAAGACAACCCATTGATGTTGTAAGAAGCATAGTTAAAGCTCCTTTAGTACTCGGGTAATAGTGTATAAAGTACCCTGCAAAAAAGATGGTACAGCCTAAACTTGTAATCATAAATGTCATTATTTAACAGACCATGCAGTGGTCTTGTAAAAAATACCTTACCAAATCCCATAGTCATACATTTAAACATACTCAGATAAATTACGTTTACATTGTCTGTAAATCTAAATGCGTTTATCCTTAACTACGCAAAACTCATAATGCGATTAGCCTAGCTAGGTATAGTGATTAGCTTAACTACGGTTACATATATATATGTGCAAATTATATTAAATTAACCTGTAACATAGATATCTAAGTAGTTTTCAGTTGGAATAAACTCCACTTAGATTGCAGTGAGAGAAGTAATTGTTCCTTATTTAGTGAATGAATTGATGATATCATGTCCATATTTGACATTGATAGTTTACAAGCTTGTTTCCATGTTGACATTGAAAGCTGATGAGATTGTGCTCGTGTTTGGCATTGACAGTTTACAAGATTGTGTCTGTGTTTGGCATTGATAACTTCAGAGATCATGCCTGTGTTTGGCATTGATAGTTTATGAGATTGTGTCCGTGTTTGACATTGATAGTTTACAAGCTTGTGTCTGTGTAGACATTAATAGCTGAAGAGATTGTGCCCATGTTTGGCATTGGTAGTTTACAAGATCGTGGTCGTGTTTGACATTGATAGTGAAGAGTTGTACTTGGATTGATACAGGTCTGAAAGCAGTTTTATGAGTAAGGCATTTACTACCAAATTGGTGGCAGCAGTAGGATAATGCCAAAGTCTCCATGAAAGAAGAACTAAGTAAGCATCTGTTTAGTGGAGTAAGGAGAGAAACAGTAGGAGAAGATATTGCATCAGAAGAAGTAGCAACAGCAACACTGGATAATGTTGAATCATTGCACCTTAGTCTACCTAGTGAGGACAAGTAAGAGACAGAACTGAACATGATGAACCCTCAAAACATAGACGCACAGCAAATACTGCAAAGTTAAAAAAATGTGTAAAAGGAGTAAAAATGCAGAAGTGAATTTTTCCTGTGCAAAGCAAGAAGCATAATTAATAACCGGAAAAGGAAGTCAAGAAAGACTAACTGGGTTATGTGGTGTGACAGGATCCCTCTTCCCATTTATGCATAAAGAGAAGAGGATCTATAAGACGAAAAAAGTACTTGCAGATAATCCCTGCATGCTATAAAGCAGAGAAAACCGTTACGAAACCTACAAATGTTAATTACAGATAGGAAATAACAGAGTGATAACTGTGGTCAGGGGAAAAAGTATTTATTCCCCAGGAAGTGCCAAATTAGTGAAAATCACAATAGAAGGAGATTGGAAAGGCGAAGGTTTTGTAGAATCCATGCTACCAGAAGAACAAGACTCAAGCCGAAAATTGGTACTTCTGGAGACAGCCTACAATTTGTCTGTCGAGGTACAAGCTATCTATGTGGAAAACCACAGGGAGGAAAAAATATAAATATGTACAGGTCAGAGACTAGGGAAAACCCACAGCTTATACATTGATAAAGAAACTTGGCTCAAAGAAGCACCATGGGAAAGTAGGGAACTGGAAGTGGAAGAAGATAATGATGAAGAGGGTAAAAAGATATTTATTGATGAAAGCTTCAAGATAGATGAAAACAAGATATTGAATCAAGTTGAAAAATTGAAGGAAGAAGTGGTCAACATGTTTAACCAAAGAAAGAAGCATCAAATCCAGAAACAGTGAGAAAAAACATTATTTGTTGACAGTGCAAGATGTATTCACAAGATTTGCAAGTGCTTATCTGATGTAAAAGCTGCCTATTTGGCTTAGAACACAACCGTGCATAATATCACGGGCCAGACCCCATTCTTGACCATGTTAGGGTGAGAAGCAACACTTCCTGTGAATTGGATATATCCCAGGCTGGTCAGCATAGATGTGCTAAAAGAATTCAGAGGAGACAGTAGTGTGTATGGGTTTAATAGTTGACAAGATTGTGTCTGTGTTTGACATTTATAGTGAAGAGTTGTACCTGGATTGATACGGGTCTGAAAGCAGTTTTTTGAGTAAGGCATTTACAACAGTCTTTGGTCAAACTGTTGCAAGATTAGGACTGGTACAAGATTTACCGGCTTATTGTTATTGTATTGTATACAAATTTACTTGTACCAGTAGGTCTAGGCTATTAAGTGCCAGGGTGTTTGGCCCATAGCCAGGGGGGGTGCAAGGGTGCAGGTGCACCCCCCTTTCTTCTGAAAGAGGGGTGCAATGACGAATTTGCACCCCCCCCCCATAGTCCCATATAAAAGAAATTGTTTTCATAAGTTTCTAAAATCTAGTTATAAATTATATAGCCCGAGTAAGAATTGATTTCCAAACCAAAATTATAATCTATTTGTGCGTTACTCATTAAAAGTGTGAAGGAGTTTTTGTGTACTCTCTCAACTCATCCCCTGAGTCATGTCTCTCCTGTGGCCTATTGCAGGCTAATTAACAGTTGATCAGTACACTCTGTTGATTAAATATAACACAACATCAAAATTTACTCATAGTCATTTAATAGTTGTTTAATTCTAATTAAAACAGTATTATTTATTAATTATATGCATAGAGTCCCATGGAAATGAAATGGTAATCTCCTGTACACTTTCAGACTTTAAGCCCCCCCCCCTTGACCGGTGTGCTATGTTTTATGAGTCTGTTTATTGAGGTATTTACGTGGTGAGGCGTTTCCATAGCACCCATTGACCCTTGAAAAGCTTTTTTTTAAATGAATAAGAAATAAGATCATATCATTTTCATATTGCAAAGTCAAAGTAATAAATGATTACTTGGCTCTGTTAGTTAAGCAGTACTTTCTTGAAAGCTCAAATACACTTGTTAAAAAGGTTAGCCTTTATAGTGTGCATTGAAAATGTAATAAAAACAACCATATACCACTGTAAAACCAAACCAAACATTGTTTAAAAAATCATTAAAAACCCCCCCAAAAAATTTTCCCTGCGGCGTGTCATATTCCACCCCCCTGGTCAAAACCTGGCTTCGGGCCTACAGGGTGTATATTTTTAACAAGTACTCCTGGATGATAGTTGAAGATCTTGGAAAAACTTAAAAGGCAAGTTTTTTTCAGTTTTTCATACTGTTTACTCAAAACTTTTATTGATTAAGGTTCAAATTAATGATTGTTCAAGAACATATACACCCCTTTATCTTTAAATAGGGGTCCCTTGACATTTCAAAATAAAATTATGATTTCTCAGATATTATTTATGTTTTTCCTATTAGAATTGATGTGAAGACGAGGGTTAGAATCCGTCCTACCCATGCCGACCCAAAAATAAGTCCACTGGACTCTTGAAAGGTTAGTATTTTAAACCAGATAGTTTTAGGACCAGTCTTCATTTCGGTTGACTTATCAATACTGAACCGTACTCACATTTAGAAGCAACGCCATTAGTAAACACAGGGCTGTATAAAATTCTTTCCTATAAAATACCCAAGAGGAGGGGAAGAGAAGGGATTGAAGGGAAAGGAAAAGAGAAGGAAAAGAAGAAAGAAAAGTGGAAGAAAAAGGAAAGGAAAAAGGGTTGGGTAACAGAGGATTTGTAGGGAAGGAGACAGGTAGAGAGAGGGAAAATTGGAATGAATAAGGTTGGGGGAAAGGGAAAGATTGAGAGGGAAAGAGGAAGATTGAGAGGGAGAGAGGAAAATAGAAATTAGGAAATTACGAAAGGGACAGGGAAGGTAGGAAAAGGAAGAGAAGGGAAAGGTATGGGGAAGGTAGGGTAGAAAGGTAGATATAAAAAATGATGTCTTTTTATTTATCAAATTTGGGGAAGGAACTCAAAAGGGTGGAGGGGGAGAGAATAACAAAATTGGAATTGTTTACACCCCTGTAAAAACATTAATTAATTTTAATGGGTTTAGGGAGTTGATGTGTTTATAATATTGAAATTCCATTTTCCAGTTTTTGTAACGTTAATTGGATTTTTAAAAAGTTTACAATACTGAAATTAAAAAGACTCAAAGAAGTTCCTAGTAAGATTTCGATTCTACTGGAGACCACCGGAGGGATTTTATTTTCACCGGAGGGGTTTGAAAAAATGCTTTTTGCAATTTAAAACTTAACGCAGGGTGATTTACATTCCTCTGATGGGATTCAGATATCTTTCCAGGGTGGTTATAATTCCACTGGAGGGATTCTGATATCTTTTCTATGGGTTTATTATTCCATTGGAGGGATTCTGATATCTTTTCTATGGGTTTATAATTCCACTGGAGGGATTCAGATATCCTTATCGATAGGGAAAGTCGTCCTAGATTTTTGGAATCGATTAAGAATAATTAACTTTGGTTAGATTGAAGAAAGCATGATTCCTAAGTCTATCTCTGCAAAAAAAAACCGGTTTACGAGGGCAGCCTCATATAAACCTCAATATATACCTAAGACGGAAATACAATACAAAGCTAAAGAGCAAAAAGGAAAGGCATTGGAATCAGGAAGTATTAAGAAAATTGTCTATTAAGTCACTCAGTGTCTTCCTCCTTATTTCTCATCATCAATAAATATCACTCAAGGATTTTTAAACATAGAGAATAGAATATATATTAGAGAGGAATTTAAAGAATCTCTCGGTATGAATTTTTTCAGTCCCTTTCAGCCTGAAATGGAGTTGCAAGTGTACAAATCATGTAAATGTTCACAAATTATATGCAGTAGAGTACATTAATACAGTATGTTCCCTAGACCATTAATTTCAATTTCGAATTTTTTAAATTATTAAATAAACTTTATAATGAATTAGGTGAATAAAAAAACATCATTTGATTTATAGTTATAACGGAAAATCATCGTTTGTAAAGTGGAAGGCATAGAGTCTATGTGAAATGATCATTGGTCAATTAAAAAACCATCCTATTTCATAATTTGGTTATCTTTTAACAATAATTTTAGATTTTCTATAAAATGATATTCCAGAGCCCATAAGGTTATATAGCGCAAATATGTGAAGTACACCTGCAGTAAAGAAACAGTACAACAAAATGGCCGTTTAACACTTTTTTCTTGTAAATTCCCCTCTAATATATATTCTATTCTCTATGTTTTTAAATCTGTAGTTTGATATCACTGAAATCTGCAAACAAACTACATATAATGTTACATAGAGTTGTGTCTTGACATCTCTAATTCACGGTAACTTATGAACCTTGGTCCTTTGATATCGTAATAAAATGATTTCCATTGGCAAATACAACAAAAATACAAAAAATAGTTTAAGATATATATTTTAAAAATATGTCTCCCATAATAATGGTTATTATTAATTATATGAAAATACTTCATCATTGAAGTACAAAAGTTAGGCGATAAGAAAATAAAAGTTTTAAATACATTTTAAACTGTAACATTTATGCATGGACATTTACAATATTTTCAATTTTTCTTTTATACGCTAACTGAAAAATTATAATGAAATTAATAATTCCAATATATTAAAGTTTAAGTAAATTTCATGTTAGTTTGAATTCATTACATGTTTTCAGCCATAACTTCTCCTATTGAAGAGTTTACTGGGAAAAACAAAAAATGTTGAATTTCTGATATTTTGTTTTTCTCGTAATTTTCTGTTTAAAGTTTAGACGTGAGTGCGGACCTAGCCAGGTTAGATGTTATCATTCCACTAGGCTTATCAACTGGCATTAACACCTGAAAATAATAATTTTACATTTTTTGAAAAATGTTTATCAATAAAGCACTTTTTATGAAAATGTTTATTTTTGGAAAACATTCATCACTACTGACTTAATAAAATTATCTGAAATGTTGCTTAAATTTTGGAAATGTCCTTAAATGTAATCTATCTATCTATCTATCTATCTATCTATCTATCTATCTATCCATCTATCTACCTATCCATCTATCTATCTATCTCTCTATCTATCTATCTATCTATCTATCTATCTATCTATCTATCTATCTATCTATCTATCTACCTGTCCTGCTCCCTCTCCCTGAACCTCTGGGATATTAAACCTGGTAAAGTCCACCGGGAAGTAATGTCTGCAGAAAACCATTTCAAAAATAAATAAAAATAAAAATTTCTTTTCTTGCTTGATGTTTATTTTAATTTCATAAAACTCTGGAACAGGAAGACGACTTTTTGATTCAAGTTTAAATAGTCCAATTAACATTAGACACGGCAATTGTGTAGTGTAAACAGACCCATTTTAATTAATTAGTGATTAAATAAGTTACTAGTATTAACATTACTTTAATGTCATTTTCCTATTCTATAGTTTTCTGGTTCTCACTTTATAAATAGAATCGAAGTAACATAAATAGTATCGAAGTAAAATAAATAGTATCGAAGTGAAGGAATATAGGAAGTAACATAATTAATATCCAAGTGAAGGAATATAGGAAGTAACATAAATAGTATCGAAGTGAAGAAGTATAGGAAGTAACATAAATAGTATCCAAGTGAAGGAGTATAGGAAGTAACATAAATAGTATCGAAGTGAAGGAGTATAGGAAGTAACATAAATAGTATCCAAGTGAAGGAGTATAGGAAGTAACATGAATAGTATCGAAGTGAAGGAGCGTAGGAAGTAACATAAATAGTATGTCACAAAACTATAAAAGACAACTAAGAATTCACTTACATGTGAACATAAAATTCAAAACGAATTCTTTATTTTTTCTAATACCATCTTTCTATAAAAATTTTAGAAAATTAATCTGTTAAAAGTCTGTAAAATGTTTATTTAAAAAAATGTTCCTATTGGGCATACTGATCTTCACACTAGAAATCTGTGAAGAAAACACATTTATATTTATATTTTTTTGTGATTGCTGTAGAAGTGTTAACTGGCCCTTTGACTGGGCTGATAACTGTAAACGTATTTTCTTTAAAGGGACTGTAAACGTATTTTCTTTAAAGGGACTGTAAACATATATTCGTTAAAGGGAATGTAAACGTATTTTCTGTAAAGGGACTGTAAACGTATTTTTATATGACCCTGCATTGAAAAAGTGACATGTCCGATTCACAACGGAACTCTTGAACGCTTTCTCTAATCAAGAATTTTGTTTTGTAAGTTGATTATTTTCAATTTTGGTTGCTTTATAATATGACTTGCGGATTTCTGCTTCAGAAACAATTTTGATGGAATAGGCAGAATTAAACACTTTTTCCCCATCATAGTTCATAGGACATGTCCATTTATAATTAGAGGTTAAAATTACAAGAAAAGTCCCTTCAAGCATGAAATTGGTTTAAATCAGTAAATATAATGATCCTGAGGAATTTTCTTCATGATAGACTTCTGAGCCTCGTACTGTGTATTTTGAACTAAAAAATAAATTAAGAATAACCTTTTTATAATTTGTGATTTACCCGTTTTAAAAGTTTTGTTCGAATTGAACTCTCAAGCTCTTTAAAAATGAAGATACGACTACAGGCTCAACTTGAACTTTTCAAAGGCACATTAATTGTTCTGGCAAAAATAGAAACAAGCGTGCCAGCTACAGGGTGGCAGAAATATTAAAAGACTGATTAAAGTCGTCTCTGACGCGTCACATAGATTCATGCAGCCTGCTTTAAAACAGTCCCATCAATTTTTAAGACTGAGTCGTCTTTGAAGTGTTATAATGCCTTGGGCTTAGATTTTTCGCTCTTCCTTACTTATGCTTTTCTGTAGCCCTTTACGTGTGCAATGTGCATGTCAGCACTATATAAAGAACCTGTTGTTATGTTTGGTTTTTAAGAAGCAATTGTAGATATTTGCCTGAGAGCGTGAGAACTTTAAATCACAGTGGACGTTTCATACTTTGTGGGTAACCCTGTATCTAAAGGTTACAAAAGATGCTGATATACAGGGTAACCCATGAGACGTCAGACACGATTGTACGGAATTTGCCCCGTCTATTTTCTTATATTCATGATTAATCCCAACATCTTTAAACTTGTTCCTTTCTTTGCCAAAACATTTTATAAACCATGTAAAAGACTATATTTAAGTCAGAAGACTTAACTTAACCTTTGAATCGTCATATCTTAAGAGTTTCGAGTCGTCTTTACAGTCTCATCTTTGACTACTACTAGTACTCAATTATCTTGAAAAACTATCAAAGCAATTACAGAGAGAAAGATTCCAAGCCATACTTTTTCTAATATTTATATCAGTTCTGAGCCAATTCCTTGCTTTGAATATCTGCCCCTGACCTGAGGAGGATTCCAAACCATACTTTTTCTAACATTTATATCAGTTCTGAGCCAATTCCTTGCTTTGAATATCTGCCCCTGACCTGAGGAGGGAAGTGGTTGAGAACCCCAATAGGCCCCGCTAAATGACCTCCGCAGCCTCCAGATACGCAGAATGACCTCAAAATCTTTCAAAACCATAATCTGTGCCTCTCACCACGTCTACAAGCCTCCACCCTTCTGTCTCCAAGCCCCACGCCCACGTTTGGAGGTAACTGTATATCAGGAGGCTACGTAATCGTAGGTCATTTCACGGGGCTCATGGCGGCTCTGCACTCCTTCTCTTCCCTAATTAGAATAAAAGATTAATTACCTGATGGTGAGTACACTCCATTGTATGCTGGACCAGCGAATACATCAATTATGGTGGATTCAACAGTGCTAAAATATTACGTTTTTTTTCTTTACAATTAGACCTATAAAACTGGGGAAAAGCAAGACGACTTTTAAAGTAAAGGTTTGATTTTAATAGACCAAAAGATTTTATATTCCACACTTTAAAAATGTATTTCAGAAGTAATAAAAAAGAAGTTTACCAGTACAATGAGATCCATGAATATCCAAAACAGTTGCTTGCAACAAATACACAAAAGGTTGATGAAATGTCGTCTTCCAATTCAATAGTTTTACGGGTATGAAAATTAAAAATCATAAAAAGAACTCATTACTTTAACGCTAGTTTGCTTACACTTTAATGACTGCTGCTTGATGTGTTACACATTTTAGTTTTTCAACCTATATACACTGCTATAGATTAAAACAGTTACAGTTTAAGATATTAAAGGTGTACGCCATCAGGTTGCAAAGATATGTGGTTTAAAAAAAATATATGCTAGTTCTCAGTTCCTTGGCATTACCTGTAGGCCTTGCAGAAATCGAGACCACTTCAGAACAAAAAAACAATTCCATATTAAATGAAGTAGTTTAAATATCTCCTGAGTTTTTCTTTTTCTTTTTTTCTTTTTTCCTGTTTTCAAAACATGCCACAGGAAAATTCGCTATCCTCCCTACTATTATGTGTACATAGTTTTTTAGATTATACTGTATGTCTTTTTTATGGTTTTTAGTGATAACTGAAAACTCTGAAATAGGAAGACGACTTTTAGAATCAATTTTTTACTCTAAAAAGTCCGATGAGCTTGAGACACAGCAATTGTGCAGTGTAAACAGACGCATTTACCAAATTAGTGATCTAATAAGTGTCTAGTAAAACTATTGAACCAGCTTTGTAATATAACATCAAATAGACTTAAGTATTGGTATAACGTCTAATATTCTATAGTTTTCTGGTTTTCATTTTTTCATTTTTATCTTTTTTAAAATTTTTGTTTCTTTTAAAATTTTTTTTGTGTTTTTTAATTCCTTATGTTTGCATAGCTCCAATCTGCTGTTACTATTGTGGAGAATATTCTATCCTCAGCGTCAGGGAGAGTTCGGTATTCATCACTGTGATTCCGTGGCAAAATTTTTAAAAAAGTTAAATGACCGTAAACACAATTTCGAATAAAACTCCAGTTTTTAAACAAAAACAAATCCGATTCACATTCCTGTTCATTTCACGTACCGGGCCGAATTTCAATATAGTGCAGGTCAAGTACAGTTCAGTACAAATACAGACTATATGAGGGAAAACGGGATTGTACGCCAAATGAATTGATTAGTTTTAAATTGGGCTGGTTTCTCTATTAAAATAACTTGCATATTTGTGCTTTCAAAATACACTAAAGGATTCGTCAGAATTTAACACATTTTAAAATGGAAAAAAAGATAATTACTCACATTATTAATTAGAAAGAAATTTGAAGATTACAACTTTATAAATCGGTCATTCAATATTTTTAAAAAGATATTTGATTTCCTAACAAAGTTGACAAAGGCTGATTGAGTTGTTTTAATGACTGTTAGCCCTCTAAAAAGAAAAATATAGTTAACAATTAAATGAATATGAATTGCTTGTGTTTTGAAATCATATACATAATCATATTAGCATTCAAAGAAATTTATAAAAATTTAGTTATGCCACAAATAATTATCAACAATTTCTTAACAGTATCGTAATTTTCTAATCATTTGCTCAACAATTAAAAAATACAAACAAATTTTAAGAATTAAAAAAAAGTTTTTATATGGGATCTTATTCAATACTAACTATTGATTACAAATGTTTTGCAATTTTGTTTTTGCAATTTAAAGCTGAATAAGTTATTCCAACTTATAAAAATGTTATTTTTTAATTTGTAAATTGGTGTCACCTGATTCCAGATCTAACTTTAGGAACTCTAGTTCGATCCATGATAACTTCTGCGATCCTGAATTTTTTTTTATAATTCTGATTTTTTTTTTGGGGGGGGGGAAATTTAAAATATTTGTATGCAGAAACTAGTATTATTATGTCTATTTTATAAATCATTATAAAATTAGATTTGAAAAAATAATATTTTGATTTAAAAACCTGGTTGAAGAGGGAGAATTGAAAAATGCATGGTTATGTTCGACTCCCTGAATAGAAAAATTTGATATAAAGGGAGTGTTCGCGAAAAATGAATGGCTGAATCCGGATCAAATTTGAATTCTTTCGCTAGAAACTTTACTTCTATCTATAGCGGCTATAAGGAGCAAATGGTTGAAAAAAACAGAACAGAGAAATTCGATAAAATACAAGGATTACACAAAAATATTTTTAATCAAATAATTCACAGCTTAAATGGTTTATGCAACTAAGCGAAAAAACATACATAGACTCTCCGGTATAAACATTTAACATTTTAAACCATTTTCTTCTAATAGACACATAGATGAAACGAAAACTGGTATTGAATTCAAATTGGATTCGGATTTAACCTATACCTAGCTAGGGATGGATAGTTTTCACTATTTTTAAAAAGCGACGTTTCGATTTAAAAACGACGGAGAAAAAAAGAAAAACGAAACGATTGTTTTCATAAACAATCGTCTTTTGAACACATTCAGGTTATTTCTCTCAATAAAATAAAATCCCATTTAAGACAACATTCATAAACTTATCTTCATGAAAAAATTGAAATAAATTGTCATAAAACTCAGATTCATTAAGTAATATTTGTTTTAAAAAGAACGTTTTAAAAATATGAACAAATTTTTCGTTTTTTTCAGGTTCAAAACGATTGATTCGTTTTGCAAACAACCCTACTTATTCCATCTTTCATATTTTGTGAACACTCCCTTTTACAGAAGGAGCACTAAGCACTCAGTCTATTAGAAACTTTGGACAGAGATATTCATGAAGACATTGTGTGGGGCAATACAAAATAGGCAATATGTTTTTATTATCATTATTAAATCTATTGCCATTTTTTCTATACGTCTTATACTACGAAGGACTGTAAGAAAGAAATTTTTAAAACTTAAAACAACTTGCGAACAAAGTGTTTAACATTTATAAGCGTTCTCGTTTAGATAAGGAGAATAAGTCCGACAACCTTAATTTACTGTTGTAAACTTGTAAATCAGACATTGCACCTTTACATAGAGAGTCACTTTAAATTACGCTTACAGTTCCTTTAACCTAGCCCTCCCAACTACACTACCTGTAACCTGGAATATTATTGCGCAAATTGTATTCAAAGCAAATGTCGTTCTGAGCAATCATCACCAGAAAATTGCAACAGAGAGAAAATCGTTTAAAAAAAGATTCTTTTAAGTTTGGAGCCAGCATCTTGAGTTTAAAGTTGTTGTTTTTACAGCCGTATTTAAGTTTAATCTTAACTTTACCTCCGGATCCTGGATCCGTTTCCAAGGAGTCTGAGATAGAGCTACCCTAGCCCTCAATACCCAGGGATACTGATTAAAGGAATGATATCAGCATAACTATATATATATATATAAAGTTGTAATCTCTGTTAGTCTGTTTGTTTGTTTGTCCGATCATAACTCAAGAACACTCAGACCGATTTGCCTTAAATTTTGATTGGAGAACTCGGAAGAACCACGGAAATGTTCTTAGCTTACTTTTATAGGGAAAAATATCTAAAATCGTAACGCAGGGTTCTCAATCTGAGAAATACTTTAGCTGCAATCTTTTTTCTGTCTGCAAAACTAAAAATTACAATTTTTCTGTTTTAAATGGAAAATTTGCCAAAAAAAAGTTTAGGACAATTTTTTAATTTTCACTAACAATAATAGACAAACATTTGTTAAGACTTGGTAAGCAATGATTTTCAAGCATTGCTGAAAATTAAGAATCTCCTTCTCGGGTGCGATGGTGACTTTATAAACTTTTTCACCTTTGTAATGAAGTGATTTGCCAGGATGATCCCAAACTTTTCCAAACTCTCAACACCAAACTAGAAAAAGAAATTTAAAATTTAAAGAAAATAATCGTTCATTAGGCTTAAAAGTCTGAATAATCAAGCATACCCAAGGTTATAATGCAAGGAAAGTTATTTCAGAGGTTTACGCATCTTTTATACTGCAGTGCACTGTCTCTGGGCGGTAATGTAAGCACAAGACGGATGTCGAAGCCTGACATGGGATCCATCTTTCACATAAAAAAATCAATGAAATATTCTGGTCAAAGGAAACTATTATGTAAACTATCAAAATGATCCAAATTTAAACCTCCTCGGATACCAAACGAATATTGATGCTTCTATTCTTGTTTACAAATTCCGCCCAGAGAGAACTGGTTTCAATATGTACGCAGAGGATACGCAACTACAATAAATTTTCCTTGCATTATAACCTTGAGCACACCTAACTTTTAACCTTAAAATAAATTTGCTTCAAATTTTAAAACTATGAGCTTGAAAGTTTCATTTTTAAAATTAAATCCTTAAAAAAACTTTATTTCTAAAGCTATCGCTTTAAAAAAAACTTTCATTTTATAACTTTCGCATTGAAAACTTTTAATTTTAAATATTTTTATCCAGATAAAGCCAATCCAACTATGAAGTATGAGTTACCTGTTTTGCTAGCACATAGACAGTATTCTTCTGGCTGTCGGTGGCGATAATATCAGAATTGTCGCCATACCTAACAAAAAATTAACTTTTTTGTAACTTTTACTTTTTTGTCGCCTTTGACAAACAATACCAACTATGATTGCACCATATCGGAGAGACGTTAAGTTACTTCACTTCCCTTTCATCCAATACTATGGGGAAGGGGGGGTAAAGATATAAATCAACAAAAAACCTTCAAGTTTTTAAACTTTTTCGGTTTTTTTATGTTCTTATGTCTATTTGAAAATTTATTTGAAAAGTTATAAAAATGGACATGACCTGCCATGAGTTTTGTTAATGATGATAAATTTCCATTTGTTTGTTTAAGAGAAACACAAGTGTTGAGCTATTACGTATAAAAAGAAAGTTTCATATTGTAAAAAATTCTTATCTATTAAAATAAAATGTTATGAGATTTATAGTAAGGATTTGTAATAGGCTTAATTGTTAACAAAGACGTATATTTAATGGAATGTTTTCGTATTTTCTTAATTTTATTTAAATGGTTTTTTATATATATTAAAAATATGTTATGCAGAAATAAAGTATTTTTCTTATTTTTGATCAAAAACGGAAACTGAATGTTTTCCGTATTATGTAATTTTATTTAAATGTAGGTTTTTATATACAAAAAATATGTTCTGCGAAACTATTTCTTGAAAACCTAGAATTTTTTGTGTTTTTTTTTAAAAAACTATGTAATCTACTCACATTTATAATTTGAGTATTTTTTTATTGGATTTTTGGAAACTGAATGTATTCCCTGATTTTTGATATATTTAAATTGATTGTTTAAACTGTAGTTAAGAAAAAAATACAAAAAAAAATAAAAAATATAAATATGAATTGAATTTTTTGTAGTTGTTTATATCAGAATGATATTAAACGTTGAAAATATATTTTTTTCTTTTTTAAAATCTGAATGATTTAAACTTTTAGCTTGTTCGCATTTAATACTAATTATGATGTTTTAAAAAGCAAATTTTTTGAAAGTTAGAATAGTTGAAAAAAAATAGATTTAATATTAAAAATTTGACAATTGTGTGAAAAAAGTGAAAAATAAACAATGGAAGAAACAAAATTGATATTTTAAAAAACTTTTGGATAGTAAGGATAAATCTAAGTAAAATAACGACCCGCTCTACAAAGGTTTCGTGAAAAAAATTTGAACAGTGAATTTAGATTTTTATACTAACTTTAAATAATGTATGTAAATAATGTAATTGATCTAAAAAAATAATTATTCTTGTTGTAATAATGTGCATTCAACTCAACATGGATGTGCTGAATCAACAAAATTAAAAACCCCATTTTTTGAAATCTTCGTGCTAAGTAGATCTTGCCCGGTAGATCTCTTAACACAACTAACACTTACTAATCAAACTTTCCCAGGCTTAATTTTAATATTAACTTTAATTGTTGTATGTCAATCTTGTAAAACCTAATGCTGATACAATGTCCTCGGAGTAAATTTTTTGTTTTAACTTTTTATAATAAATGTATTTTAAAAATGTGATATGAAATAAATATCTAAATGTTAAAAATCGTCTGCCATGCAAACTGATGTTGGAAATAAATAACATATACATTTTGACACTTTCCTTCTATTTATATACTTTTATTGTCTGTCTGTTTGTTTGTCCAAATCCAAAAAAGGTCAAAACGGCTGAACCGATCGGGCCAAAATTTTTTATGACCCTAGTGAAGTTTTATGATCAAAATCTAAAAAAGTGGACTTCAGCAAATTTCGATTTTCATTAAATTTTGAAAATCCCGAATTTTTTCATAAAGACACGGTTATTTTGGTTTTTGTTTTACAATCTATGCAAAGAGATAATGTTCACATTATCTAACAAATACTAATAGCCTAGTTTTTTAATTTTATAAAATAGCCTTTAAAGGGTTAATAAATAATTATATGGATAGATAGATGATATTGATAATTCCAAATTTCTTTGAATCAAAACTTGTTTTTTTACCCGAGCTATTATAACTCGACTATTGTTTTGCAGGGTAAATGCTTTTTTTTTTACTTGTAATCTTTCTCAGATGCCAGAGTTAATGAGGTCTCTACTTCAAGTTCTTTGATGGAATGCTTCTTTCCAACCTATTAAAAGTGATAGTAATTAAACTTTTAAAAGTAATAATAATACTAAAAATGCAATAATAATAATAACAATAATAATAATAATAATAATAATAATAATAATAATAATAATAATAAAAATAATAATGAAAATAATAATAATAATAATAATAATAATAATAATAATAATAACTATTAATTACTACTTAACCGGGAGATTAAGGGAGGATAATTAAATTGAGGGGAAAACCACTTAGCCGAGGGCATCCAAGACCTTTTTGGGGTTCTAAACCTCATGAATAATAATAATA